AAGAAAACCCTGAAGAGCTACAAAAACAAAATTAGAGGGAAACTATAAGGAAACGGAAGAGAAGACAGCATTTATAAAATAATAGCAAGTAAAAAATACAGTAGCTGAACCATAATATCCAATGGGAAGATTGGAAGACAGTAGTAACAATAAAAAAGACAATATACTAGAATATATTTAAAAAAGTCTTTAATAGACAATTTACCACAAGAGTATTTTTCAGAAAAGTAGAAAAAAATTCCTGATAATTTTTTTAAAATTTCTAAATGAGGTACATCTTTAGGCTGAAAAGATCTAGTGTGTTCACAAAAATCAAAAGAAATACAAGGTACGCCCTGTAAAATTCCTGGGTATAAATAGAAAATTCTAAAATATAGTAGAAAGAAGTCAAGAATGATACAGGTCTGTACCACAAACACTGCAAGCTGGAGGTTAAAATAGTCTCTTGAAAATTCTGAAAGTAGTGTTTTCCAACTCATAATTGTGTAACTAGCCCAAACTCACGTAAAAGGATAAATCAATATATTTTCAGACATTTGGAATTGCCATAAAATTTACCACTAACGGATACACTCTCAGGAAATTCTAAAGGATGTGTTCCACCAATGTTAAATATAAAGAAGGCGGAAGACATGGTTTAATGAAAGAGGAAAGGCATAGGAAATTCCTAGGATAAGAGCAAGGACAAGCAGAGAATAGCTGTGTACAGAGCACAAAAAGCTATGTTGGGTTTGGACCAGAAAGGAAGACACAGGGTGTAAAGAGGAAAGATACACAATCTCTTAGGTGTATGGTGGGAAAAACTGTTACAGGAAGGCTTTGGGATATTGTGAAATCTCTTAATCAAATGTACAAAGAAAACTGACACAATGTCATAATTTCTCTGGGGAGAAATAGAGAAGAAAAGGAATATATCACACTAGCAATATTGCCACAATAATGGAAAGGCAGAGTCCAGATCAAATCAAATTTATATTAGGATAATGAAAAAAGGGTAACAGACATAAAAGCACTTTCTTTTCTATCACAAGACAAAGTGTTTACAATTTCCAGATAGGCATAGTATTCAAGAAATATGTACGTGACACTGAGAGAAAAGTTAAGCATTGAAAGAAATATAACTGATATACAGCATTTTAAGACTTTAGCACTTTTAGTTTTATCTGTATGTATGACTTTGATATACAGTTTTATACTTAAAAAAACTAAGAAATTGACAGAAAGCATCAAGGCACAGGGAATACAACAGTGAATGACACAAAGATCATGTCTTAGGGAGTTTATTTCTACTAAAAGAAAAAAAAATACATAAATGTAAAATACAATTATAGGTAGTGACCAACATTACTCAGAAACACAGTAAAGACAGAATGAAAGCTAGAGTGGGAAGGGTGCTATTTTTGGAAAACTAGTCAAGAAAGCCTCTGAGGAACAGGATGTGTAAGAAATCTAAATGAATTAATGAGCTCATGCTTACAAAAGTATAATGTTCTAGAAGACAAAGCAGACAGTGCTCTTGTTACTTGTCTGCTGTTGCTGAGACAAAATATCAGAGCCCCCAAATTAAGGAAGGAAAGGTTTATTTAGCTCACAGTTTGTGGAGGTTGCAGTCCACAATCATTAGGGCCAAAGGCAGGATGGCTCATAGCATAGTAGTAACAGTTCATGAGGATGGCAGACAGCAAAAGAGATGAGCGAAAGGAAGAAGTGCACAAAGAAGACTGTCCTTTATATTGTATGTAGGCTACCCACCCTCAAGTGAATGTAACACTCACACTCATAATCCCAGCATTGGATCATGAATCAGCCACAGACTCTACAAGCCTAACCCCATGAGGCTCTGGGGGACATCTAGACACAAACCATAACAGATAGTAAGTTTAAGTTTAATGTGCTGGAAACCAGTAAAAAGTTCAGCAGTTAGAGAATAAGCTAAAAGGAAAAATATAAGACAGTATTTGAGCAGTAAGAAATAAACGGTAACACTTTCATACAAAGTCAGGTATCAATGCCAAGGGTGATGAACATGAAATTAACCAATGAAAAAAAATCATTAGATAATAATATGAAGATGTTATTATTTGGCTATGAAAGTGAACTGCAACTAAAACCTATTTTGTTAGTCTTTCTGGATAACACTAGAAGAAACTGATGACTACTGACTACAGTCACAACACAGAAAAGGAAAGACTATGCCCATGAGACTTAAAAAGAAATTTTTAAAAAGCCAAACTTCGGAGAGATGAGTTTAAGAAGTACCAACACATTCTCAAGTATGCATTTTGTAAAAACATACATACATAACCACTTACGTACAAAAGAACGTTTTGAAAGGTATTTAGATTTTGAAATTATTTCCTTCAATGATAATTGTGCCAAAGTAATTAGCCCTCTCGCCTCAAATTAATACAATATTACACAAATTCTTCACTTAGGCAACACATGTTATAATACACTTATTCTAGAAAGGTAACTTATGAGTAGATGCCTGGGGCTCTATAATATAATAAAAAACAAAAAAGGCATAATAATGAAAGATTAAAAGATAAGAGAAAGAAGTCCAAAAGATAGATCAGCAGTTCTTAACACTGGCTGCTCACCAGGATCATGTTGGTATTCACATTTCACTAATTTAAAGCAGGACCCTGGGCATATTATTCCAATATTCAACCAAAACTGAGTACCTTTGGATTAGATGTGTATGGTGGTGAACAAAAATGCTAAGACTGGTAGTTGATTCTGTTGATACAGAAAACAAAAATACAAACTAAGATATGAAGCTGATCACCTGATTCTCCTGTTTTGGAAAAAACATCCAATGACCAATTTCTTTAATGGCTTTAATTTCTCTACAGAGCTTAATCCCCTGGTCAACAGTTGAGCTCCTCTACGATCTGGTCCCCAGATCCATCCTTACCAAATCTCATTTAACTGCAACAACCAAACTAAGGCACTATGCAAACTAAACTACTATCAGCTTCCTCAAATGTACCAAATTATTTCCTTCCACTCCTTTTGCATATTAGTCCTGTCTAAAATAGTTGACACCATCGCCTCAATGTACCTCTAGCCTCCTATGCCCTATTAAATCCAAGTGTGACTTACTCTGTAAAAATCTCCCAAGAACTACCCGAGAAAAATGGTTCACTTCTTTCTTGTGCCATCACTGCATTTCTACAAACATCTGTTAAATAATTTACCTCACTCCATTTTTTGAGGTCTAATTTACTAATCTTTGAGTACTCTGAGAGCAATCACCTTTAACTTTTTGTTTTTAATCTTGGTACCTCCCATGCCTAATTTTGAAGACTAGTTAAGGGCCAGGGATTTAGCTCAGCAGCGTAACTGCCTGCCTGGCAAGCACAAGGTCCTGAGTTCAATCCTCGGTACCACCAAACAAAACAAAACAAAACATTGAATTTGAAGACTAGATAATGAACTACAATACTAGTAAATGTTACAAAACAGGAGAATAGAAATAGTAGAAAAACCACTAGTTCTAACTTTTTAAAAGGGAAGTTAAATTCCAGGAAGAAATGGGGACTTAGGTGACCTGAACAATGACATGACTATAAAAAGTAGCCTGTGAATATCTTATTATCTTCTGTATCTTCCCTTTATCTCTTTCTTTCCTTCAAAGTCTAATTAAGGAAGCATCAAAGCAGAAAAGATACACAGCGGTGATAAAAGAGAAAGGAGAATGGGATGGGGCTCACAAAAGAATCAAACGCTTCGATGATTTTCATTTTTTAAATTAGGAAAACAGTAACAGGTGATTATTAATCACTGTTATGTTGATGTGATTATTACACTGATACTTTTAATAGTGTATTAAAATAGTCTGCTACAAGAATTTATATTACAAGGATTACAAAATATAAATTGTTGAAAAATAATATATTTAAATTCATAAAAAATAGCCACAAGAAGCTGAACTCTGGTCACTTTGAAATCACTTGAAAAGTGCTATTTACCTGTAGAAACTGCACATGAGTATACACATATGTGTATGTATATGAATCTATTTTATTGCCATATATGTACAATATTTTTATTTACAAAACTGAGGACTATTGTATTGTCTTTGTCGATCTATAGAAAAAATGAACAAAGCTATTACATTCTCTTCACCACTTCTTAAGTCCAGAACAAGTGTGTATACATGAATAGTAACAAATTAGTATCGTCATACAAAAATACTTCATACACTGTGTCAGGCAAGAAGCTAGCTGAATTTAAAATTGGTTTCAACTACTAAGAAACTATTCTGTTAAGAGAACACCTAAAACTTGACTGCCAGCCCTTTTTGATCTGGGTGTTTTCTCCCTGTAGAAAACCCCACATCAAATTCATTCTGACTCAGAACAGGTTGCACAACTTCTTGGCCCTTTGGACTGGCAGCTGCCAGGTGCCTCATAACCTGTTCTAGACTAACTTAATTACCGTTACGTAACACCTTACACAAACCGAAAGCGTTTAGTTTCTTTAACATCTAGAACAATAAAAAGAAAAGAAGGCGATAGGACCAGGAAAAGTACAATGATGATTCCAGAAACCGTCTATCTCGCTAGAACTCGTCCTATAGAGCAGGTAACATCTGAAAGAACGTGAAGGTCCAGAGAGCGGCCCGGAAAACAACACCAAGTCGGTAAAAAAAATTAAAGAGAAAACAAATGAAAAAGAAAGTTTCTCGCGGGCAAACTATAGCCAAAACTAAAGAGAAGGCGAGCAAGCTTCGAAAGAGACAGAAAAGGCCCTCGAGGCATCATTAGGTGCTTCCCGCTTGGCTTGGCCAAAAGCCCCCAGTCTGGATCCTGGGACAGCAGACTCCTCACCGATCCCCCTTCTACCCACCCCAGGGCTCCCCGGCACAGCCCTCCGGTCTGAAACACCGAGTTTCTGCTGCCCCTCCACCGGGCCACATCTCGGCGTCTTGGGCGCCCTGGTCCCCAGAGCACCGTCCTCCGCTGTCCCTGCGGGGTCAGCTCTCTTCTCCTCACCTTGATTACAGAAGAGGCTCCACAGTTTAGCGAAAATCAGCCCCATCATGAGCACGGGGCCGGGCCGCTGGCTCCCTAAGCAGCAGGTGCCGCCGAGCCGGGTCCCGCACCGCGGCGCTGGCCGTGGGGACCGAGCAGGAGCCCACCGAGATGCCGCGGCGAAGGCACCGGTCGGCCGCGCACACTCGACCTAACGGCTCAGCCACAGCAGACGAGACGCCGCGCCGAGAGGGGGCCGAGAGTCCTTTGTTTCGGGTCCGCTGTGCCCAACGCCGACCGTAGTCCCCTGGTCTCAACCCACCTACCCACAGTAATCTCCACCAGCGCCAAGCCCCGCCTCCGCCCCGCCTCCTTGGGCTCCGAAGACCGCCCATCGCCGGAAATTCGACGCGTGACGTCAATGCACTACGTCCACCCACCCCGTCGACGTGGCGTTTCCTCCGGTCTCACTTCCGGTGGGCGGGTAGCACCTGGGAGATGCTAGGATTGGTAGGGCAGTGGGAAATTTCCGCTGGTGAGCGCTCCCTCCGCAGTCACCCTTCACAAAGGTTTTGAGACTCTCGTGGCTTTCTAGATCGACAGCTGCGTCCCTGGTCTTTAAAAAGAGGGAAAGACCTTAATATCTGATTTAAAGTCGCTGTCGGCAAAAGTGGGGGGGGGCGTGATCGGAAACCAGGATGTAATACTCGGAGCGGCGGAGCTGATGATGCGCTACTGTGTTCAGTTAACCAAAAGGCACACACACAGCATTTTGTTTGATTCTCTCTGCAACGTGTCACTGTCATCCAGTGCGGTATTTCCCTGAACATCCGCCGAGGACGGGAGCCTGGGGTGTTGGAGGCAAAGAGGCCGCTTCTAATTAGGCAAAACTCGAGAAATCATGAAGGGCTCCACGCGTTTCCTTACGCGGCTTGACCTGAACGGCGCGATTTCTCTGGATGCCTGGTGGTCCCTATACTGTGCGTAGCTACTCATTGTGAAGACACTGCTGTCTGCAATTTGCAAAGAAAACCTACCGTTTTCAGCATCTTGAAGAACTAAGCAAGAAAAAAAAATGCCTGTTTTTCCTAAAATATCTTTAAGACCTGAAGTTGAGAAGTATCTTAAAGACGGCTTTATGAATAAGGAGGTAGGTCAGATTAACATATTTAATATTTGCGAAAATTTAAATATTACACGACCTAGCGAAATAGATTAAGTCTAACGGGAAATTTTTTACAGCCTTCGTTTCTTACCAGTTGTCTGTCTAAACGTGAGTAAAATCCATTGTCTTCTCACAGATAACAAATGCCTGCTGAGAACAAGGTGAATAAGGTATACGGTGTAGGAAAGAAGAAAAACGGTGTAGGAAAGAAGAAAAACTGTCAGTGGGCATAACAGTGAAGGAGTTACAAGAATGAACAAGAAAAGATCTCTGCTCTTAACTAATATCCAGCATATGAAACACACCCATTCTCTTAAATCGCATGCTCCAGCGTTGGGGTGAAAATAATAATTTGTTGAGTGCCTCTCTAAATGCACTCGGGAGGCTAACTTACAAGGGTATCTGCGTGTGTGAGGCCAACACTGCACTACAAAGCAAGACCTTGTCTCAAAAAAACAAAACAAAAAATACGTGCTTGAAAAGCTTCAGTTAGTTGTGAGGGAAGCTGGTGGTTTGGGTCTTTATACCTTCATTTCTGACAGATACGCTTGCTAGTCAACCAGTTTTTTTATGGACCATATGTATTTGTTACATTTTTAAAAAAATATTAAAAACTGATGTCCTGGAGGAATCTTTGGATGACAGTGAATATATTAATATTGTTTATACTTCAAATATTTTAAATGGCTCCTAAGTAGTTTGTTATTGAATATATTTGTGAACAAAAATAATTGAATGAGATCTTGAATTTATTTGAATAAATGTAGCAGATACTGATATTTTCAAAACTCTTTGCAGTTGAGGCAGTTTTTTTTTGTATGACTAAATGCAGCAAATATTGATATTTTCAAAATGTTAATGCTTTGCAGTTGAGGCAGTGTTTTTTTTATAAACCAGTCATGGTCAGACATGATGTTGTTTATTACCATAACACAATTCAAGAATCCTGTGAAGTGTTACTATTTCCTTAATGTTAATTATCACTAAAATGATAACTCCAACTTGAAATGGAGCTGAACAGTTGTTTCGTTAGGTGGAACAAATCTCATTCTGCTGATTATTTCAGTTTGTTTGATGAAAGAAAAACATTAACTTGTTCTTTTCATTTCAGGTTGTAAATACTTTAGGCAAAGCAGCAGCAGAAAGGAAGTTTGAAACTCTGTTGAAACATCTGTCACACCCTCCCTCATTCACAACTGTTAGAGTAAATACACATTTAACCTCAGTTCAGCATGTGAAAACTCTGTTGCTTGATGAATTTCAGAAGGTTTGTGTAAATCTTTTGTTGTATTCAATTAGATTTCTACATCCTTAGTTGTGCCTCAGTAAAAGTTGAAGAATGATATATTCTAATGTTTTTTTTTTTGTTTGTTTTTATCCGTACCAGGGATCGAACTCACGACCATGTGCTTGCAAGGCAGGCGCTTATGCCGCTGAGCTAAATCCCCAGCCCCCTATATTCTAATTTTATAAATGAGGAAATTGAGAGTCTTGAACATTTTATTTATCGAGCTTATATATAGTGATAATACTAGAATTTGAACCATGAACTTCTGATTTTGAATATATTAAATTTTAGGATAAATTCCCAAGTCCTCTTAGTCTTGCTTCTTCATTAAAATATATGCAAAAAGGATCATTCTGAACCTGTTATCTTATAATCAGAAAGTAATGAGTAGGGCCGATTATATAATGTCTGGTAAAGGGAATACTTAGGTAGCTCTCATACGGTTAAATTTTTAATTGAATTAAGAGATAGATATTAAAGGACCTTGTTATCTTTAATAAAATCAGAAAATAAAACAATATAAGTAATCTATTTTAAAATCTATTTAAAAATTGTGCAGAGAGCAATTGGGGGCATGCAGGTCCATAGTTTCATATTTAATAAATTATGTGTAGAACTTGGGCATTCTGCTATACCAATTTGACAGGGATATAAGATCTCATGAACTGGGGTCAGAGTTGGAGCAGACGAGTCACTAGGCTTTTAGTTCCTTAGTCCAAAAGTTAAAATTGGATAGGAAAGCCTGGGTGATAGGCACGGGGCAAGAAACTGTGGTAGAGCTGTTTCTGAATCTAATTGGAAAGAAGACTTGGGAGAATTAGACATTAAATCTTTGTTTCTCCATTCAAAATTCCATTCAAAATTCCACATATGTCCTATAGAGATATCTAGACTAGTGTAATATTCAGTGCTTTTTCCTCAAATTTGTTTGAACAAATTTTTTTCTTATTTTTATTTTTCCAAATCCATTTTATTTTGACAGAAAAAGAAGAAAAAAAAACTAAAAAAAATTCAAAACACATCAATCAGGGAGCAACAGTGGTATATTGTACATTGTCACCCCCAAACCATTCACTCAGAGCACAAGACAATTGCCTGAATAATACCAGCACAAATCTTTCTCTTCAGTGAACTCAGAGAAATCAGTAGTATAACTAGTTTAACTATTTTTATGTTCATCTCCATATACATATATTGTTCTTTTCAGCTTCTCATGCTGAGACAACATAATATTTACACATAGGTGTGTGATTTATTTCACTAATGAGTATGGTCTCAAGTTGCATCAGTTTACCTATAAAAGTCTCCAGTTTTCCTTCTTTATGGCTGAGTGAAACCCCATCATTTTTATCCATTTCTCAGTGGGTAGGCATTTAGGTTATTTCCAAGATCTGACTATTATAAATTGTGCTGCTGTAAACATGGGGCATATCTATTGCTATAGTAGGATGAAATTCTACCGGCTGGGTCGAATAGGACCTCTAGTCTTCATTTTTTGAAGAAACTTCAAACTCATTTTCACAGTGGTTGTACCAGTCTGCATTCCCACCAACAGTGGAAAAGGGTTCCCTTTTTCCCCACAGGCTCTACTGTATTTGTTATTGCTTGGTTTCTTGAGGATAACCATTCTTCTGGAGTGAGGTGGACTCTCTTTACAACTCTTGAATGACCAGTGATGTTGAACATTTTTTCACATATTTATTTGCTTTTTGTATTTGTTCTTCTGAGAAGTATGCATTCATCTCAGATGCTCATTTTTGGATTGTGTCTTTAAATCTTCGAGGACTGGTTTTTTTAGTTCTTTATATATCAGCAAACAAATTTTAAAAATTACACATTTCATTTGGCTGGCAAGGACAGAAGAAAACTGGAACCTTCGTATCTTCCAATTTATAATGTCAAATAGTGTGACTTCTTTGAAAAACAATTTGTTAATTTCTTAAAATATTAAACAAAGGGCTGGGGATTTAGCTCAGTGGCATAAGCGCCTGCCTTGCAAGTACGTGGTTGTGAGTTTGATCCCTGGTACCAGTAAAAAAAAAAAAAATTTAAAAAAAGAAACCTTTAAAAAAATATTAAAACTTGGCAGCCCAGCAATTCCATTCTTACAGACCTACCCAGAAAATAGTAGACATATATCCAGACAAATTCTTTTGCTTTTAATAATGCATCTTTGCAATTCATGCAGTTTTTATTCATTTTGGGAAGTGGGTACATGTAAATAATAGAGCTTCATTCTTTCTTTGAATCCTCCCTTTCACTCTTCCCTCCCTCCTTCTGAATCCCCTTCCCCATTTTTGTTGTTGATATTTTAATCTCATGTTTATGACATATGTAATGTTTACATTCATTTAGATTATTCGATTTCCTGAATATTTATTCTACTGACCCCCTCCCTCTTGCTGATAATCTTTTGACCCATTGCTAAAATAAATGACCCAATCAAGAAAGGGCAAGTGAAATGAACAGACACTTTACAGAGAAAGAAGTACAAGTACCAAACAAATAAATGAAAAAATGTTCAACATCCCTAACCAATGGAGAAATGCTACTTAAAACAATACTAAGTTCCACCTTAAACTAGAAAGAATGTTGATCATTAGGAAATTCAAAAGTAACAAATTCTGGCATGGTTGTGGTGAAATAAAAAACTTCCTACACTGTTGGCATGAATATCAACTAGTGATAAAGATTGTACTACAGTGATGCCTGCATACCAGTGTTCATAACAGCATAATTAATAGCTAAATCTTGGAAACAGCCTGTGTATCCATCAACAGACGATTACATAAGGAAAATGTGACGTCTTACATGATGACTATAAAGGACACGTTTGAAAGATTTGTAGGAAAATGGGTGCACCTGGATACAATGCTAGAGAAATCAAACACGCAAGCTTAAAGAACATGATAGTTCTCATTTGAGGCAGAGTACA